GGCTGGGTGGGGGCTTTTTTTTGGGGCTTTTCTTTGGTTCTCTGGGTCCAGTGTGCCCGGAGGAGGTAGAGCTGAGACAGATGCAGCGTGTGGGGCTTGGCCAGAGGAAGCCACTTCTGTGGCAGGGGGCCAGGTCTCTCGGCTCAAGGCTCTTCCCCCAGGATTTCAGTGGAGCTGGTGGGGGCTGAGGGTCTTCTTCCTAAAACCAGGGACTCCTGCAGGGAGGGAACAGAGAAACGCCCAGATCTGGGGTCACCTGGGTGCCTGGGCATCTCCTGGGCACATCTCCACGTCCCCCATGGTGCCAAGCTTCCCAGCTCTGGGGGAGCCCAGGAGAGCATCACCCCCACCACCCCTAAGAGACATCTCCTGGCCCTGTTGCCCACCCTGGTGGTGCAGGGCTGGGGGGCACTCGCTGCTCAGGGGTGCACAGGACGGGGCGGTGCCCGCTGGAAGCAGCAGATCCTGCAGCACCCGGGGGCTGAGCCTGGCTGCAGGACCTCCCCACGGGTGCTGGTGTGGTCACCGTGGCCCCAGCACCCCCAGCAGCTGCAGGCAGCGGGTCCTGGTCTCAGTGGGGTGTAGTTCTGCATCATTTCATCTCAGCTCAGCACTCCCAGTGCCCTGGTACCCTCCTGCTGGGGCAGCTCCTTACTGGGGTGACCCCAGGAGCCCAGGGTGAGGGCTCTGAGGTGCCCTCATGTTTTTCTTGCAGCATTGGAGGGCTCAGAGCAGTAGGAGATGATTGCTGCCCTTGTTTCTTGAAGGTTTTTTGGTACCTGAGGTGGTGGGAAGGGTCCCCCCTTGTAGGGAGCTGCAACTCAGGGAATGGTTTGGGTGGGAAGGGACCTTTGAAGCTCATCTCACCCACCCCCCTGCAGGGAGCAGGGACAGCCCCAACCAGAGCAGGGTGCTCAGAGTCCTCAACCTTACCTGGGATGCTTCCAGGGATGGGGCAGCGACCATCTCTTGGAGCAACCTGGGTCAGGCGCTCACCACCCTCAGCCTCAAACGTTTCTGCCTTTTCTCTAGTCTCAATCTCCCTCTTTTAGCTTCAAAACATCCTCCCTTGTCCTGGCGCAGCAGGCCCTGCTCAAAAGCCTGTCCCCAGCTTTCTTCTAAGTACTGCAGGACCACCAGGTCTCCCTGAAGCCTCCTCCTCCTCTCCAGGCTGAACACAGCCCCTCCCAGCCTGGCCTCCGAGCAGTTCCAGCCCTCAGATCATGCTCGTGGCCCAGGTGTGAGGCGTTGGGTGGGCACTGATAAAGGGTGGCTGCTCCTCCCCCTGCTCCTTTAGTTCCCCAGAGGAGGAGGCTTCTGCCTTGGCTTGCTCCAACCTCTCCTACTCCTGCATCTGCTGAGAGGGGAGGGGTGTCCCCTCTGCACCCCGGTGTCTGGTAAGGGCAGGGAGCCTCACACTTGCAGCTTTGCCAAGACAAAGCTCAACCTCAAAGCTTCTTGAGGTCTCCTAAGAGCAGGAGGTGGCAAAGCTGGTGACTCCACGGGTGCCCCCCGAGCACGGCTGGCCGCAGGGAGGCGAAACCCCCCTGGGCTGTGGGATGGGGGGGGCTCAGCTGAGCCCCTGGGGGCTGGTGCTTCCCTGGGTGGCCGTGCAAGCTGAGCTTTGCTGAGGGCTCTGGGGCTGTGTGGGGCTGAGCTGTGCAACGTCCCCCCCCAGCTGAGCAGCCCCTGACCACACGCAGACGTGAGGAAGCCACAAGGTTTTGTGCACGCTCGGCCCTGGCCGTGTGTTTTATTTAGGGGCTTTTTTTTATCTCGCCTCTGCCAGAGCTCCTTGACATCCGGGGGCTGAACTGAAGAGGGAGGCGAGCACAGAAACTCAAGAAAAAAGGGCTCAGGAGGAGAAGTCCCTGTTATTCCCCAGGCTGGGTGGGCAGGAAAGGAGCTGGGCATAAATGAGCTACTAGATGCTGTGATAGAACCATAGAATCCCAGACTAATTTTGGGTGGGAAGGGACCTTTAAAGATCGTCTCAACCACCTCTTGGGGCAACTTGGGGCAGGGTCTCAGAGGCTCTGCAGCCATCCCTGCTCTGGGCAGGGCTGAGGATGGCACACGAGCATCCACAGCGTGTGGTGTGGGATGGGGAACCAGGCTGAGCTTGTCCCTGGGAGCAGGAGGGGCTGTGGGTCTGGGTGGGCTCCAGAGATTGGTCCCATTTCCCAACCATGGAGCATCTCCTGGGGCTGAGGCCCCTCGCTCACCTCTCCGAGCTTGTCCCCAGGAGCAGGAGGGGCTGTGGGTCTGGGGCCTGGGTGGGCTCCAGAGATCGGTCCCATTTCCCAACCGTGGAGCATCTCTTGGGGCTGAGGCCCCTCGCTCACCTCTCTCTGCCTTAGGAGCCTCAAAGTGCTGGGAACAAGCCGTGGCTGCTGGTGGGACGTTGTGGCTGCGGCCGGAGAACCCCCCGCAGGGGTGGGCAAAGCTCTACTGGAGAGTGATGGAAGATGCAGGAAACCAGACACGGATCCTGACGGTTGAGAAGGATGGAAAAGTCCAACTCTCAAAGAGTCCTCTTTCTCAGAGAGCCCGTTTCCAGCAGGAGACCCTGTCCCTGCAGATCAGCCCAGTCAGCACAGCAGACAGCGGGACCTATCTGGCAGATTTTGAGACCCCCTCAGGCTCTCTCACCCCCCTGTTCTTCAGCGTGACCGTGTTGGGTGAGTAGCCAGCTCTCCATCGCTCATCCCTGTGTTGTCCCCTGTCCCCTCTCACCATCTCTGTCCCTGCAGAGCCCGTCCACCACCTGCAGCTGGAGACCCACGTCCTGGCTTGGGCGGAGGGCTGGTGCAACCTCTCGTTGGGCTGCACCGCCCCTGGGGCCTCCAAAGTCTCCTACCACTGGTCCTGCACTGGAGGAGCCCAGGACAACCAGTCCCAGCTCTTCTTGGGGGTCCAGGAGGTCACCAACCCCTACGTCTGTGACTGCAATGCCAGCAACCTGGTGAGCTGGGACTCGGCCAGCACCGACGTTGCCAGAGCCTGCTACGCTGCGGCGCCAGGTAATTCCCCCCCAGCTCCATCAAAGCAGGATTTAGGGGGTCCACGAGCTGCTTCCCTTCCAGTCCTCTCCCCGGGCCCTTCAATTCCGTGCCTGGGCTGCCGAAACTGCCAAGCATGTCATGCAGACATCCAGATGTGCCCAGCTTCCCCTCCTGGGGAAGGAAATGTGCCCAGTGTGGGTGATGGGGCTGGGGCTGAGGTTTCCTGGCCAGGTCTGTGACACTCTTGGGGGGGAGGTGATGGAGACTGTGTTTAGAGATGGTTCCGAGCTCTGTCCTGCATCAGAGAATCACGGAATTGTTTTGGTTGGGCGAGACCTTCCAGCTCCTGGAGTCCAACCATGCCCCCAGCACGGGCAGGTCCCCACTGCCCCGTGTCCCTCACCCCACATCTCCACGGCTTGGGAACCCCTCCAGGGGTGGGGGCTCCACCACTGCCCTGGGCAGCCTGGGCCATCAAAGGTCTCCCTTCCTCTGCTCCCTCCACAGGGCTTTTCAGCATGAAGCTGTGGTGGGCAGTGGCTGCGTTCCTGGGGCTGGCACTGGTCATCTCTCTGGCCCTTGTTGCCACGTGCTGCTGGAGGAGGAAGCGAAGAAAGGACCCCCCGGGAGGTTTGTCCTTGGGGTTGGTGTGATAGCCAGTGGGATGGGCAGCTGGGCAGCCCCTGCCCTCCTCCTGACTCTTGTCCTAAGGCTCTCCGTGCTGGTCCTGGGGTTCTCCCTCCTCCTGGGGCTGATGTGGAATAAGCCACCGGGCACTGTGCCCCCACCAGGAGCTGCGCAGGGGACAGTGACTTTGCCCATCCCTGCTGGTGTGGGGTGCTCCAGGTTGAAAAGCTGGATGAAGCACCTCAGCAGCCCGAGCATCAGTGCCCAAACCTGGAGGCCTCATTTCATGAGGTCTAGAGGACTCTCTGAGTTTGGACATTCATTTTATTCTGAGCTGGATCATCCTTCCCCAGCCCCCACCAGGTGCCAACGAGCTAAAACCTCCCAGTTGTCGAGGGGCCTCTTTCTCCTTCTGCTGTGCTTTGCTGGGGGGCTGAACCTCCCCAGTTGGGGGGCTCCAACCTTTCATCCATCTCACACCAACCTTTCAAACTCCCCAGAACCCGCTGAGCAGTTGCTGAGCTTCTACGCGGAGGTGGGAAAAGTCCAACCTGGCCAAGCCCCTGTGAGTGCTGGGGGTGGCCCTGGGTGTCCCCCCTGTGGGATGGGACCTCTGTTTGGGATGCCAGTCACCCCAGTGGCATCCCTTAACCACCTCGGGTTTGCTTTTTCCCCCAGAGTGGGACCAGTGAGGCCACTGTGGAAGGAAACACCATTTACACTGTCGTCTACCCCAAAACACAGGTAGAGTCAGTCCTGTGCTGGTGGAGGTGCCCATGGACTTTGTGCAGCTCCTGGGCTGGTCGCATCTGTGGCAGCGGCCAAGATCATTCCTCTGGCCCAAAATTTCTTTCTCTTTGTGCATCTTGAGTGTTTTTCCCTAGCAGGGACCCATCCGTCCTCAGGAACCTGAGAGCTGCACCATCTACGCCAGGATTCAGCCCCTCAGGAAGGTGAGGTTGCCCCGCTGGGCAACACTGGGTGTGTCCCCTCTGCAGTGACACAGGAACCTGGGTCCCCTGGGCTCCTCAGCTGGGTGCTGGGCTCCTCAGTTGGGTGCTGGGCTCCTCAGCTGGGTGCTGAGTTCAGGGTCTCGCTTTGCTCCTCAGTCTCCTTCTACCAAGAGGAAGAGACTGGACCCGGCTTTGGTCTCCACTGCCTACGTAGAGGTAAGAGGCACCCACCCAGGGGGGAGATGAGCCCTGGCTGTCTCCAAAGCTCTCCAGCTGCATTTCCCAAATCCCACCCCTTTCCTTGCAGGCTGAGGAGGGTTTCAGATGCCCTCGACCCCCCTCGCGGGCTTTGCCCCTGGCTCCTGCTGGCCACCACTTCTCCTAGGCTGCCTCAGCAAGACCTTCCCTTCCTTATGGACCTCTTCTGGAGCACCCCAGGACCCTCACCGCCTACCAGGACCCCACCTGGCAAAGGATGGCAACAGCCTGACATGATTTTTGGGACGGATGCAAACCCCACCTGAGCCTTGGAGGCTTCTCCTGGAGGAAAGACTCCGTGGTGGAAACCTCTCTTTGGAGGAGATGGCTGTGGAATTAGACAGATGGGTTTGTGGGGGAAGAGGGCACGTGTGATGCGCTTGCGTTCGCTCCCAGCGTGGGATCTTGTGGGTGTTTTAGGTCTTGACAGGTTTGAGGAGCCTCGGGAGTTTATTTTCGAGGTGTGAATATAAACTGAGCGGCATGAGGCGACCGTGGTGCTTTGTTTAATTGGCTTCATTGGCTCTTTATAGCCCAAAATGGACCCGGGAGGGGGAGTCTCCTTCTTTGTGTCTTGGGAGACAAGAGATGGGAGTCTCGTGTGGAGAGGGGCTTTGCAGAGGTTCAGATGTGGGTGTGGGGTAGGTGGCCCGGGGCAGGATGGTCCCTGCACGGTCCTGGGTGCCCCACAGTGACCCGTGACGCTGCCACGTCCCTTCCCACCGAAATCATCCCATGCTCCGGCAGCACGAGTGGCCCTGGGAGAGAAGGAGGGGGAGAAATTGGGGCTCTGGCTTCAAAGCTCTTCCCGAAGGCAAGATCAAGGGCTTTTATTTGGGATTGAAACCAAAACGTGGCACTTTGATGGCAGCGTGGGGAGCGGCGGCGACGGCGGCTCCGCGACGCTCCCCTCCCG